ATCATAATCATCGTTTTTCAGTCAGTGTTATGGCCATTCTTCACTGTTGTCGTTATTCTCATGAATCTGTCTCCTCTCCCACGTGAACCTTTGTTATTTCTCTCCATACGGGCAGCTTTTTCGGACTTTTGGACCTGTTTTCAGCAATCCAGCAACTTTTCGATATCTTCCATAACAGCCGTGGTAGTAAGAGTGTTGCTCCAATCCGACCACGCGCGAGTCCCGCGAGTGAAAGTTCATCTACCCCCCTTCCGTGTGCCTTGTAGTGCCAAGCCAGCAAACTTGAATCCTGCTGGTCCTCCCCGCTGGCCACGCTTGCCATCGCTACTCTTCTTGTCGCGTTCACTGTCCTCCCCACATCTTCGATTTTCCGGACTGGAAACCACTCACTCAGCCACGATCGTTGCACCGCGGCCGCTCTCCGCTTTGAAAACTTGATAACTGAAAATGAACGTCTGAAAGCTACTTTTTAAAGCAATTGCTGAGCGCATAATTTTCACGCATATTCAAAAATTCTGGAAATTTGCGATACCAAGAAATAAAGCGGCGGTTTTGCTTGCATATATGCAAATTTGCATGCATGTGCGCCTTGCCAAGAACCGGTTGATTTTGCGCATAGACTGGTGAGTGAAGGCGCTACAGCAGAGAGGAACTGCTGAAGACACGGGACCTCAAAATGGCGGTTTTTTATAGAAAAATAGACGGCCCTGGAAGATGAATAAAATTGCCAGCGAGTGAGAGGGCTCCTTTTTATGAAATTCAACTGGCAGGGATATCATTGACAAACGAGGCGAAAGTGTCAACTAATTGGCTTGAAAGCAACAAATATCCTGGGATTTTTGGGGAAAATACATGTAAATGAACACATCTATGCTTGGGAAGAACGTTGGAAAACGAAAAAACAGCCAAAACTGCTTGCATCTCATCTCCGCGAACTATCTAGTAAAATTGTTTGAAAATTACAAATTCTAATGGGTCAGGTAAGTTTGCAGACTGTGTTTCATCTCTTAGCTGTAAACACAGGCAAAGATTTGAGCCCCTTCATCGCTCAGTTGCATTATGATCCTCGAGACTGAGAACAGTTTGGGATTCGACGGCGATTAGTCCTTAGAACTCTCTTCTGTCCCAAATCTTTCCGAATTTTTTTCACTCATAATATGCTTATCGACAGTGTCTCACTGTCTTCGGAATGTAATTGCTAGCTGATCGAGGGGCCTGCCGTCGCAGTTCTTTGTCTCGGGTTTCAACCGTTTTACTAATCCAATGCCATAAACAGAAACTCCAGCACACAAAGTACTTCACAGATATCCCAGTTATAATGGTCCCAACAAAAACAGATCTTGGAACCGTACTGTCGGCAAGTTGTTGGTATAGCAGTAGATGTGGTGTTTTTGCACATAAATGTGTATTAAAGACAAAAGG